GGATGTGGTTGAGTTACAGTCGAAAGAAGGTGCGATCTACAGACCAAGCACATGCAGATCAGATATTGCTTGGCTTGTATTCTGGCGTGCAGTCTCGAGGAAGATTGCAGTTTACAAAGAACACATTCCGGTTCCCTGGCCTTACTAAGTTGATTGTCCGAATGCTACATTATTCTTCCCAATTCTCGGATCTCGCAGTTACCAGTATACAGATCAATCGCAATGTCCGGACTATTCCTCACAAAGATTCAAACAATCACGGCCCAAGTATTGGCTGGGCCATTGGAGACTGGACAGGTGGAGAATTACTTGTTGTGGACGACCGAGGTCGCTTTACATATACAGTTGATGATTTCAATTGCAATGTTGCATCGCATGGTGCTCACTTGAAAGGCAGACTCTTGGACGTCAGACAACCTTGCTGCTTTGATGGAAATGTGATTCATGCCACCATGCCTTTCACTGGAACTCGCATCATGATGGTTCTTTTCTGTGTCAAGCAACATGTTCCCGTTTCACCCCATGCCTCTTGTCTTTCTTTTGCGCGTTTTCTTGGTCTTCGTGTTCCTGTCCGTTCCTCTCTTTCCTCGTCTGTCCCCTCTGGTCCTCTCTTCTCTTCTCCTCCTTTGTCTTTGTCTGCCTTTCCTTTCTCCTCGTCTGGTCGTTCCTTGTCTTCGTCGGTTCCGTCTCCTTCTCCTTCTCCCTCTCTTCCTCTTCTTCCTCTTCTGTCTGGTCCTCCCCGTCCGTCTGCTCGTCCTCCGTTGTTGTCTCTCTCTCCTGCTTCCTCGGTTGCCTCCCTCGTGTCTTCGTCGGTCTCCTTTGGTCCTCTCCGTGTGTCCTCTGTTCCCTCTTGCTCCTCCTCTCCGCGGTCTTGGTCTTGCTCCTCCTTTCCTGGGTCTTCTTGCTCTTCCTTTGTTGTTTCTTTCTCTGACTGTAATGCCGACGATTCCGACGAGCCATGTCAGAGTGACATGTCACTTGACGCATAAAAAAGACTGTCTTAGGTTCGCTTCGTGCATTCGCATCGTATGTCTCTCACTCTCTTGGCATTGGTTGGCTTGCATGTTTTCAGGCAAGTTTGCTGCATGTGCTCAAGAAGTATGCTCCACCAATCGATAGACCATGACCCGTTGCCAGTTTCGTGATGTTTGGATGGAGGATGCGCCTCGATTCTGCATATTCTCTTTTCTTATGGTACGTAGCAGTGTGCATGTCAGCACACAGAGATGTGACAATCCCGATTCTTGCCGAAACCTGCAGCACATCCAGTGGCAGCGATGGTTGATACATGGGTTGGGACGCTGTTTTCAAGCACACAATTACCATGGACTGTCCAATGACTCTGCTACTTTCAACTTTACCCATCTTCTTCCACGATGCAGTGAGTCCTTCCTGTGCCTGTCAGTGCTGTGTCGCACTCTGACATTGCGACATATCAAGTTTCTGATGCGATTACGAGTTTGCCATGGTTCTCGATTGAAGCCCTCTTGTACATACCAGCTCATGTGTATCGAGACATGTTGGTGCCAACTTCACCAAGTTACGTTCTCGGCATGCGAATTTCCTGTCGCGCATGTTAGAGTCATCTAGGCGGCTTTGAGGTTAAAAAAGTGTCCGCCAATGTTCTGTCCATTTGTGTGCCTCAGTTTGCCAAAACGTGAGTCTTGGCAGACGTTGGTTCAAGTACTTATGCACCGCTGTTAACGTATCAATGTCTGGCTCTTTGCTGAGCTGCAATGACATAATCAGCAGTCTGGATGGAGATCAAGTCACGGCTCTTTTTCAGATCTTGGGAGATCGCCGGCAGAGGGCAGTCTTTCTTTCTCATCTTCGACGCCGGATTCAGAACGATGCAGATGCCCTTGTTGCACAACATCTTGGCGCTCCCTCCCACTCTGTCTCTGTGCCCTCTGTGCCTTCGTTGTCTTCTTTTCTTGCCCCCTCTCCTTCTCCTTCTCCCCTTCCTCCTCCTCCTCCTCCCCCTCCTGCTTTTCCTCCTCCCCTCCCTGTTTCCTTCTCTGCTTCTGGCCGTTTTCCTTTCTCTCCGTCTCCCTCTCATCCAGATGCTTCTCTTGGAGCTGTTTCGAGTGACGCTGCACCGACAGTCATGGATGGATCGACTCTTTCGGACCCTCAACAGCGTGGCGCATTGCCCCGTCGACGGCAACAGACTGCTCCTGCTGCTCGGAGAAGCAGATCCATGAGTGAATCGGAGGTCCGAGAGAGATCCCGTTCGAGATCTAGGTCAAGATCAAGCACCACTGTTTCACTTGGAGGTTCTCGTCATATCAGGTAAGCCGGACGTATGAGGAAGACAAAACTGTTGTCCCAAACTTGCTTGCAACTTCTGAGTCGCAGACATGTGTTGTGCTTTCCCGCAGCATCACACTTCGAAGTTGCTTACGGCTCAATTTGTAAGATGAAGCGAACAGCAAGTATGGCGGCCCTTCCGGCCCCAGCTCCGATGGTCAGGATTCCAGTTGTTATTCCTCCGGATATATGCTCTGGCGGACGTGAGATGGGTTTCTGGCTCTCTTTGCCTACAGATTCTACGATTGATGACTTGAAGAGGAAGGTGTGCGATGAGCTTGCGAACCGTACGGGGATTCCACCCCGTTTGAACGCCTTCCAATTACGGCAATTTGGTCAACATTTACCATTCTCTTCGATTTCTCGAGTTGCTGCCTTTCCGCATACTACGCAGTCAGTTCACTTTGTGAGAACCTGGCCACACGAATCATCGTGGTGAACTTGAGCAGTGTGCTGATCAAAGAAATAAATGCTGTATTGCGGTCCGTTATGCGAGCTCATGAGTTTTTGTTGCTTTTGCAATCTACCAGTTGTCCTTCTTTTACTGCAGGATGTGAGCCCGAATGTTTTCGTAGTGCCTTCTGAAGGTTGTAGACATTTCCTCGACGCCATGTGGGAACTTACTGTTCTGACCGAGAAAGTGCTGACTTTTATCAGCACCCGACGCCATATTATTTTCTTCTTCACCTTCCCACCATTAGATCCACTTGAGACTCTGGATGTTACTCTTCGCAGACATGGATTCCATACGATGTATGATCTTGAACAGTTTGTCACACAATGCAGAACAGAAGGTATGGATCTTCGTGCTGAAGTATGGGAGTTCTTTATGCAAGGACCCAGTGTGTACACGCCGATTACGTGTGAAGCTCCCGCATTACCTCATATTGTGGTGTATGCGTCCGTTTGCAAAGACTGGTATTACACTATCATCCGATTGGTTGGCGATCGCACATTCTTCAATATTCAGCAGCTTTGGCGTCTTGCCCAAGTGCGCCATGCCAATGTGGAATGGATTCATCACTCCAATGAAGACCGAGTGCGTATTGGGTCGGCTTTCATCGATGATCTTAATGTGCGCCGCATTGTTCACCCACTGTAAAGTGTAGATTCGACCTGGACTTGAGTGGATCACGCCACATGAGTATAAATGGTGTCCTTGGTCATGCGAGTCTTGACATGTGGCCCTAGGATTGCCTTCTCTCGTGCTGATGTGCAGTGCTCAAGCTTTTTTGATGTCTCAGTGTGTAATCATGTCGTCCAGTGGTCGTCGTACTCTTCGTTATGAACCAGGGTCGAGGCGAGCCAGCGATGACAATTTGGAGGATATTGTGCAAACATCAGCTGCCGATGCCCTCGATGCTCTTCGCTCTAACGACATCCACCCACAAGACCTTATTCGGTTGATGCTTCGTGTTGTCGAAATCCTACGTGATTCTTCGGATTTTCAACAAAGGATGTCACGATGCTCCGGATTGTGCTCTCATACGAACTGTGGTCGTGTATGTGCTCGAGCAGACGAAGGTCACAATCATTGCCGATGCTATTACCACCAGGTTATTGACCGCAGTGAGAGAGCCATCAAGAAGCGTAGACGTGAATAGGCTTGCTACTCACACGATGATTGGGAACAGTCGCAAAAGACCTGCACCTTGATGCTTCTGTGCCCCTTCGGGGGCCTGTTTGTGTTATTCTGCTGTACATGCGAAAAACCTGCATTCACATGTCCACTTTTCCTTGGCGTTTCTGTTTGAAAACCTTTGTAGGTACATGCTTTGACCCATGGATTTTTCTTGTTTTCATGCTCTTTTCGCTTTTAAGTTTGCAGGGGGCGTGGCGGTCACATCCTAGCCACGCCAACGAAGCTATGGATGTTGACTGGATGGGTTCACAGACGTGTGAGCCTGTACCTGCAAAAAAGCTGGGCCCCTGAGCCAGCGAGATTAGCAAAAGTTTCTTTCGAACAAGGCAGGTTTGCAGGTTTGAACATGTCTTTCGCTTGTTTTGAAGCTTTGTACGGTTGCTGCAATCTGTTTGAGCATGTCCATGAGAGTATCTGCATTGGACGATCAGAACATCCAGAAGGCGGGTCAGTGGGAGCCTTTCCAGTTGTGAGGCGAACGAATGTCTGAGGATCCGGCTCTGCTTTTGTGCCTATTTGTCTGTCGGTCTTTGCCAAAACTGCTTTTCTGCAGGCCTGTCTCTGTGTGAGCATAGTTCGAACACTCACTACCAGTTGCCTGGTATGTGTCACCTTCTGCGTACCAGAAACTTGATCTACAGTAAAAAATTCAAACTTGGTACTTCCTCCTTTCCCCTCCTCCAAATACTGCTTCTGCAGCCCCTACAACTTGTACTGTGGAGAAGATGAAGGAAACAATGTACCTACTTATCCTCATGCATCCTCATAAGCATCAGAAGAATAGCATTATCATTCTCACCTCAGCCTGCATGGCAGAAGGTTCAAGTTTGAAACGAAATTTGTTCGGGGCTGAACAGCAAATCCCCCTTAAACCAAAGACCTCTGCTGTGGTCCCTGCTGCAGCCAAACCATTTGTTCAGTCGAGCAAGCTGATTCGAAACCTCACGTATGACCTATGCATCCTATGCACAGCCAACCGCCCAAGTACTGGAAATAACAAACCTCAAGGCACCAAAGAGCTGGCAACGAATACCAGTTTGCATGGCACCTCGTCCTTGAGCAGGGGGCCGATGAAACCGAAAAGTGCCGTAACATCGTCCACACTGCTGAGGGCACGGTCGTCCTGGCGAATATTTAGTTAGGGCCTTGTAACTCGAGCTGCCTTTAGGCCTTTAGGTATGCCGGCTTTGGACACGTAACGTTCAAGTCATCAAGCTGGCTGCGCGAAACTGTAGCGGAGCATGCCAGGGGACATGCTGCACACGTGGACTGAATTTTCATTTTCTCCCCCTGCACACAGGCGATTCTGAGCACAACGTAGGCTGCCAGAACAAAAACGCAGCGCAGGCGTTTTGACTTTGAAGCATCACCCCTCTTACACAGCTTCTACACCTGCGAGTCGTCATAGACTTCGCACAGCTGCCAGAAGATGCGCCTGTAGGCCTGTAGCCTAAACCAGAATCATCAAACACCTACAAATCCCATGCATTATTTCGAAAAGGCGTGCGCTTACCTCACACGAGGCATTTCCGGAAATTGACCTCAAGCTCCTCGCGGTTAATATTCTTCCCGATAAAGGTCAGCTTGCAGACTCTCTCCTCATCAGGCTCCCATGGGCGCTGTGGGGAGGCAGTGAAGGCCATGTGAACTGCCTGGAACACGAACTTCTCCTTCATGCCCTTCACGGCCAGCACACCCTTGGTACGAAAGAGGTCTGCCCCTTTCTCCTGGAGCACCTTGCCAAGCCAACCATTCAGCTTCTGCTGATCTACCTCGCCCTTCACGTGGAAACCTGCAGACGTCACACGGTCATCATGTTGATGGTCTTGGTTGTCTTCCAAGAAGGCATCATCCATTTCCAGGATCTTATCCAAGCTGAAGGCCTGGATGCCGAGAATGAAGTCCATGTCAACTTTGCTCTGAGTGGCACGGCGGATCTTCACAGACTCGTTGATCATCCGGATGCGTCTCTCCACTTCCTCTAAATGTGGTTCGTCGACTAGGTCACACTTGTTCAAGACAATGCGGTCTGCAAAGGCCAACTGTTCCACAGCCTCGTTCTCGACGCCCTCAGGCTTCTCTTCATCTAGGTGGGGGATCAGGTGCTTGGCATCCACAAGGGTCACGATACCATCCAGGGACATCTTCTGCTGCACAAAGTCGTCTGCGAAGAAAGTCTGTGCGACAGGAGCTGGATCTGCCAAGCCGGTGGTTTCGATGATGACGCCGTCAAGTGGCTTGTTGTTCTTGACTGCGTTCTTGATCATCTTCTTTAGCCCGGCAATGAGGTCGCCTCGGACGGTGCAGCAAATGCAGCCATTGTTCATCTCGATGATGTTCTCCTGTGTCGCGATTGAGCCGGCCTCAATCAAGCCGTCGTCGATGCCGACCTCTCCAAACTCGTTCTCGATGATGCCTATGCGCTTGCCGTGGTTCTCGTGCAGGATGCGATTCAGCAGTGTCGTCTTCCCACTTCCAAGGAATCCGGTGAGTACCGTGACGGGCACCTTGCTTTCTGAGAGCCTTGCCTTCTTGAGTGCCTGCACCTGTGCCACTTTATCCTTCAGCACCCCGTCTGTGCTCCCCAATTGCTGTGCACACTCGTAGTCACTGGCTGCACGCTTATGTGCACCCAGGCCCGTAAGAATATCACCACGGAGCTCGTACGTTTGCCGAAGGGTGTCTTTCTGCTCCGCAGAGACCTTCGGAACCATCTCGGCGATGAACGCGGGGGGGTCCTTCAAAATCTTGTCCGACTCGTCGCCCAAAACCTTCGCGAAGGCTTGCATGCAGGCGTTGATGTGCTGCACAGCATCGAAGAACTTCCCTTCCTTCAGGGTCGCCTGTGCTGATGCCAGACTTTCGGTCCAGTTTTCCGCCATCGCGTAAGGCTTTAATGCAAGAGTTCTGTTCAGTGGTGTACGCCAAATTCAAGAGTTTCCAAACCCTCAACCAGCAACGCGCTTAAGAGCTTCGAGCCGGACAGCTATTCACTGAGATGCTTCCGGCAGCAGGCTAGTGTACGCTTCTCGGGTAAACCTAACAGTACAGCTTCCTGCAAGCTGTCCCACGGTGAGTTTCTTGGGGGTGTCTGCCAGACTCAGCTTCTCGCAACAATCGAACAACCATGAGAGCCGTACTGTTTCCGAGCCCGAAGTAAGGGTATACGGTAAATGCAACGAAGCACGCTTGGCTTCGTTTTGTCCGGTGCTGCCACCCCTCTTAGATGGCCTCTGTGTTTCTGTTCTCAGAGCGCCTGGCCAAAAACTGATGCAATGCAGCATGTCAGGCGTACCCGCCTGTACCTCCCACGAGACATTTTCGGAAGTTTACCTCAAGCTCCTCCCGGTTAATATTCTTCCCGATAAAGGTCAGCTTGCAGACTCTCTCCTCATCAGGCCCCCATGGGCGCTGTGGGGAGCCAGTGAAGGCCATGTGAACTGCCTGGAACACGAACTTCTCCTTCATGCCCTTCACGGCCAGCACACCCTTGGTACGAAAGAGGTCTGCCCCTTTCTCCTTGAGGATCGTGCCAAGCCAATCATTCAGCTTCTGCTGATCTACCTCGCCCTTCACGTGGAAACCTGCAGACGTCACACGGTCATCATGTTGATGGTCTTGGTTGTCTTCCAAGAAGGCATCATCCATTTCCAGGATCTTATCCAAGCTGAAGGCCTGGATGCCGAGAATGAAGTCCATGTCAATTTTGCTCTGAGTGGCACGGCGGATCTTCACAGACTCGTTGATCATCCGGATGCGTCTCTCCACTTCCTCTAAATGTGGTTCGTCGACTAGGTCACACTTGTTCAAGACAACGCGGTCTGCAAAGGCCAACTGTTCCACAGCCTCGTTCTCGACGCCCTCAGGCTTCTCTTCATCTAGGTGGGGGATCAGGTGCTTGGCATCCACAAGGGTCACGATACCATCCAGGGACATCTTCTGCTGCACAAAGTCGTCTGCGAAGAAAGTCTGTGCGACAGGAGCTGGATCTGCCAAGCCGGTGGTTTCGATGATGACGCCGTCAAGTGGCTTGTTGTTCTTGACTGCGTTCTTGATCATCTTCTTTAGCCCGGCAATGAGGTCGCCTCGGACGGTGCAGCAAATGCAGCCATTGTTCATCTCGATGATGTTCTCCTGTGTCGCGATTGAGCCGGCCTCAATCAAGCCGTCGTCGATGCCGACCTCTCCAAACTCGTTCTCGATGATGCCTATGCGCTTGCCGTGGTTCTCGTGCAGGATGCGATTCAGCAGTGTCGTCTTCCCACTTCCAAGGAATCCGGTGAGTACCGTGACTGGCACCTTGCTTTCTGAAGGCTTTGCCTTCATTGCTGCCTGCACCTGTGCCACTTTATCCTTCAGTGCCCCGTCTGTGCTCCCCAATTGCTGTGCACACTCGTAGTCACTGGTTGCACGCTTGTGCGCACCCAGGCCCGTAATGATATCACCACGGAGCTCGTACATTTGTCGAAGGGTGTCTTTCTGCTCCGCAGAGACCTTCGGAACCGTCTCGGCGATGAACGCCGGGGGGTCCTTCAAAATCTTGTCCGACTCGTCGCCCAAAACCTTCGCGAAGGCTTGCATGCAGGCGTTGATGTGCTGCACAGCATCGAAGAACTTCCCTTCCTTCAGGGTCGCCTGTGCTGATGCCAAACTTTCGGTCCAGTTTTCTGCCATGGCGTCAGAATGGCGACTAAAGTGCCTTGTCGGTGGCTAGCACGGGATGCAAATCGGACCTGAGACGAAATGGCAAGGGAGTCATGAAAGTCTAGCAGTTGAGCCCTGCCCTCAGCTGGCATCACACAGTGCCGCCCCATCCTCCACGATAGCCGTGACCATGTTCAAGGAAACTTGCTTTCGGATCTCGAAGTTCAAGAAGCCGACCAGCCCCTGAGTGGAGCGGACTTTAGTATCGGAGTGTAGAATGTAGAATCTAGGAAGGCAGGGTAGATTCACCGCAGCTAGCCGAAATACATCAAGCTTGTACCACTTTGGCTGCTGCCGGCTCCGGTGCCAAACCCCACATGTCTTGACCGCTTCTCAATCTTGCATGACTGTTGAGCGACGTCACTTAGGGCAGGACGGCGAAGTGCTCCATCCTGAGATACGCTGAGGCACACGAGTCTTCATGGAGGGCTTTGGGTCAGGAGCTGAATGAAGTTCCGCTACACGTGGGTTTTGGATTTTCAGCCTAGCTGGTGTTCTGGATCCACAGCCTGCCTGCATCTTGGGATTTCGAGTTGGAATTTCCCAGCCATCCTGGCTGATAGAAAGGGCTTGAATAGCCAAAAGTGGCATGATAATATAGGTCACAGAAACTGACGGGGCTTTCGGCTTGTGCGACTGCAGCATACTAGAGCCCATAAGAGAAGTCTAAACAGCCCTTTGAACAGGCATTCCAACGAGTCAGAGTATGACTTACAGCAAGGCGTCTTACAGGCATTTCCAGTTGGTTGGTGAATGACAGCCTGATCTCACGGTGAGGCGCGCGAGCCCCCAAGGTGCTCAGGAGGACTTTGGCAAGGCAAGGACTGCACGTCCTCTCGAACTTTGATGCTGCTGCAAGGGGCTCTCAAGCTTAAATCGGAAACACGGCACCTTCTCACCTCAAGCGCTCCTTAACTTGGAGACCGCCGGGCCTGACCACCCGGCTTGGGAAAAGCTGCACCCCCACCTCTCCCGCTCCCATAACCCACACACACAACAAACCCCAAGACTCTCGGGAAAGCCTAGCCCTATGAGAAGCCAGGTTTCAAAACACCAGCAAACACCAGCATGCGTAAAACCGCCAAAGCCTGAGCGGTAAGACTAAACCATTCAAGCCGGGCTGCTTCAGAACTCCGAGGCCCAAAGTTTTCATTGGCCCGGCCCTTGGGAGCGAATGCTTTGCAAATGGGGACAACGGTGGCTGGGTTTACCATGGAAGGCGATGATTCCTGTTACCACCGTAACAAGCTGAACCCTAACGCCCTCGACACGTGAGTCCCTGCACCAACGAGCCCTGGACCCGAGGACGACGACAACGACGAAGAGTACTTGTGCAGGTGCCCACTACTATCGCTGCTATAGACAGAAACAGATGTGCCACCTTGGTCGTCGTGCTTGCAGTAAGACGGGTCGTGGTACTGGTAGTGATGGTGGTAGGTGTGAGCCACAGGCCGCGCAAATTGTTACGAACACTATCACCGCAGCGACAACGACGACGACCCACCGCAACTACTTTATTTCCGCGTTCCCGTCATACCCGGGTTACTTTGGCTGGGCGGAGATGCGCGAGAGTCATTCTCTGGAGTGGCTCTTCAATGCTGGCCAAAGTGGAACTGCATTTGCTTCAATTCCGGTCGCTAGGACAGGCAGTGTGAATCCTGTGAAAGAAGACAGCATTTAACAACGGCAGTGCTAGTGCTGCCTAGCCGGACTTCAGGAACCATCAGGACTCGCGAGAGACATAATTATCAAACTAGCTCATCTGCTACCCCTCGGAACCAAAAAACCCGGCGCTGCCTCACTTACCCATAATTCAGGCCCCTCTTGAGGGCAGTGCACTGCCCTCATGCCCATCTCAACTTGAAGCATCAGCACTCACGGCTGACGACTCCAAGCACTTGCTCTACGTAAGTGCATTCAATGCTCTGGCACGACTTAACGATAGCGAAAAGTTGCAAAAGAGCACGGATGGGGGGGATGGTCAAAGATTGCAATAACGACCAGTGCATTCAGCATCCGTTGGTTTGCTACTCATGTTCTCAAAGCTGGCTCACAACGAGAAGTGCATGAGGTCCCAGCGGTACCTCCTGGTGAAGAAGGGAGAGTAGCCGTAGCCGTTCGGCACAACGCAGCTGTTTCTCCGCAACACCGCTTGACGTATGCTCCCCTACTTCGAAACATTTGGCGTGCCAGTGTGCACCCGCACATACCATGCCATAGAGGAGACTTCCAATGACAAGATGCCTTTGGGACGTCAGGCTTGCAAGAAGCGCGAAGCATGTATGCGGCACATAGTGTTGGCCTCCGATCCATTGCCACCGCTTCCGAAGTGCACCAGTGCTTCACTGCCAAAGTTCTGCGACGAAGCCATTGCAACCGTCAGGGTCAAGTTTTGTAGACCCCAAGCGGACAAAACATTATGTTATGTCCGTTGCAACCTGACCGCTGCAATGTTCTCAGGGACTCTGGTCACACAAATCCGAGGTCACGGCAGCAACTCCCCGATCTGGTCTGCGGCCTTCTCGGATATCGGACCGCTGCAGCCTTGCGGTCTTTGATCTATGCAAGTCACTTGCCCAAACTACGTCGGATGCTCAACTGCCACACATATCTTAGAAGAGAACTAATTATACGTCATGGATCGTTTACGCAAGGAGAGACAGGCCCAAATCCTGATAGAAAAACTGGTGAAAACCAAGTACATCCCTTAACTTAAACCTTAAGCTACGCTGCTCCGCTACACAATGAGAATCGCCTGCCGAGTTCAACATCAAATCTAGAAACCTGCTTTAGGAACGAAACTGAGAGGTATGAGACCCGCACAAGAACTAGCTCCCCAACCGATCATGGCTCCAAGATAAAACTCTAAAACTCAAAACCTGAACACCCTGAACGCCGCAGCGGCTGCCTGGTAGAGCCTTAAACTTCTGCAGGAGCTCGGCGGCAGATCCCAGGATTATGTCGACATAGTGGACCTTCCAGGAAAGCCCGAAGAAGCACGGCCGTCCTCTTTTCTCCCAGCTGTGTACGAAATGTAAGAATGTGTGACCTTCCACACAGCACGGCTGGCATGGCCATTCGTGGCGGAGCACTGTTGCTTTGTTACAGAGGGTGATGCACTACTTGCATCGCATCCCCGACCGAGCGGAGCTATTCGCACAGCCTGAACTACTTTGGCAGCGAGTAAAACCAAAAACGAAACCACCACCGCGACGACAACGACGACAACAACAAACACAATCAACAACCACTTCAAGCACAAGCATCAGCACGAGAACAATAACAATAGCAAGAACTAGCAACTAGATCGACAACAACGACAACATTTCATTCACACGCAGCGGGAGAGAACTGTCCTTGGTGAAACTTGACGTCCACGCTTTGCGAGGGGTCGACCTATTGCTCTGCTTACTACTTGCACGGTCACTCCTCACGGCAAGCCGTGCCTCAGCGCTGCACTTGCACACTCTCCGCCCCTCAGGGCTGCAAGCTGTGAAGTGGGAAGCATATGTGTCTTCAGAGACTTGTGCGGCTTTATGATTTCGGCACTTGCTCTAAGCTAACCGGCTTGGCTGAAGATTTCACTGGCTGATTGGCAGCAGGGCATTTTGCACTCGGCTGCTGTCTCGAGAGAGTAATCTAGCTTCGCTGTGAAGGCTCAGTGCGAACCACCAGCTCTATGTTGAAAAAGAGGCGGTGAGGCAATGATACGCGCAGTAGAGGCATGCCAGACGCCATCTCCAACCCGTTATTGGTGTTCGCTGATGGCGGAGTGACTCCTGCCGGGCCTGTGCTCGTGACATGAAGTTCTCCAGTTCCCGGATGGGATATCGTTGAGGTCACAGCCTTTGGTGGAGGTCCCGGGGGAGTGACTCCTCCTGGGATTCCAACTTTTGCTGGCAATCCTGGAGGCTTACTTGTGCCTCCTGGTGCCCCATCCGTGGAGGATCCACTTCCCGACGGGTTGACAGGCACCGGCGGCGGGGGACCATTAGGTGCACCAGACTTGGGTGCCACTACTTCTTCTGAGTCCGACTCCCGGATAGCATCACTGGAAGGTGGCGACCTGGGTAAGTGAGGGCGTCTCCTCACAGGTGGAGGGGTGCGAGAGTTCGCTCTGGTGCCACTCTTCTTCGGAGTTTCGGGCATGGCTACTAATCTTGACAGCTAGTGAGTTGAGCCTTGGTGGGAAAGAGCAGTAGGTGCATTTGATCCTTTGGCTGACTGTGCACTTGCAAAGACTGAGCCCTTGGCCCTGCACCGAATTGTGTATCTGGCCTCGGAAGACTTGACACTGGCAATCGATGAATTCTGAGCTTGCCCTTGAACTTGAACCTCCGATTGATTTTTATGGGCGGCTGCAAGTCTGGTTGGGGAGCGACTCCACCGTTTGGCGAGGCTCCCTTTCTGGAATCAGAGCGGCCTATTGTCGCCTCCGTACTTGGTACCGGACTTCAGACTTTGATAGTACTCTATGACAGAGGGAGGCACTACTGATGGGTGAGAATAACGCCGTTCTTACTACGGAAAAACTTCACCCCTGCCTGTGAGGCCTTGAGTGGATTGACTGCCACCAACATGGACGACTTCTCTCTGATGTCAGACACGCCCGGTTGACCATAGTCACTGTCCGAAACGAAGTGGATATGGTGCCGTCCCTCTCTGCCTCGTCCTCCTTTGCCGCGACCCTTGGTGATCTTGTTTTGTGGCAGGAGGCCTTGTTGGCGTATAGGGTCATAAAGGGACCAGTAAGTGCCGTGGAAGAGCATTCCGGGGAGCATCTCCTCCGTGAGTTCCTCTAACACCTCTTTCGAGTCCACGTCCGAGCGAGAATGTCCTTGAAGAGCTCTAATATACTTCTGTCCTTGGCAGTCTCCTAACTCGTACCTGCCTTTGCTGTTGTGCCGTACGATCTCCAGGAGATCACCTGCCGTGGCCTTCTGGTTCTGCACTCTGGGCCATGTCAACACGTCCTCCAGTTTGGCCCAACCGGCCGACGTGACAGTGATGTACGGTCTATGTCCGTGCCTGAGGCATGCAGCCAGAGCCTTCGATACTTCAAACGAGAAGCTGGTCTCTGGGTTCGTGGAGGCAGAGCTATAATCCCCAAGGTCACCCGGCTGACCTTCCCATGCCACAATAGAGGAGCTCCTTAGTGTGACCGAACTTTCGTCAGTGATCTCTGGGGTCTCGGCCGGGGAGGATCTCCACCCTTTGACCCTGACGATGGCTCTGGGACTGGAAGGGGAGGAACTCCTCCTTCCTTTCCTCGATCTGACGAGGTCGCCTCACTGGGCAACTCGTATCCCAGAGCTGTGAAAGAGTCACGAGCCTGTCGAAGCGGGATCTCTAGCATTCCGCTCCACTCACGGAGGTACTCTCCTAAGGAGAGGGTCTCCTTTGTTGAGATTTGGAGCAGCAGCGCTCGGATTTTCACCGCATCAAAGGAGTATATGAGTTGATTAGTTTTCTTACCACGTTTTTGCGATCCAGAGTAAGCTGCTTCTGCCTCGATCATGGGCCGGACGAATATGTGGCGAGGTCCTATCCTCACCAGGCAACTGTATCCGGCTGCGAGATGCCTGTTTGAAACCTTGTGGAGATACGCTCCTGGGCGGTCCTCGAAGCTTCTTGTGCCAGATAAATCTGGAGTCGAAGGTAGGAGTCTTCCCGTGGCTAGTATCCCATGTAAACATTCCAGGTGTGTGCCGTGGAATGCAACCTCGCTGTCTCCGGCAGGAAGGATGTTCGGAGAAGAGTACTCAAATCTGAACCATCCCTTCTCCTCCGCTGCTGGGAAACCAAGCTTCGACATCAAGGGCTCATTGGCCAAGCCCCGGCGGGAAGCTAAGAAGGTCTCGAGTAGAGCATTGGCAATCTCAGGGGTTGGCCTCTCAGCTTGATCGAGGCCATCTCGTAGCTGTTGAGTCACTGTCACCATGACTCGGTGGTTGTTCAGGTCAGTGATGGATCCTGCACAGTCTGTTACGAGACTGGGAAAAGGCGTGTACCCCACAGACTGAAGTAATTTAATGACCACGTCGGCTCGGTCATCTGTAGCCTGTTGTTGGGAGAGGTCCCCTGAGGGAGGATCTCCACTCTTGGCCTTTGCTGCAGGGGGAGTATCTCCACCCTCACTGTGCCCAGTGCTTCTCTTTTTGGAAGGAGGAGGAGAGGGAGTGACTCCACCCTTCCCACTTCCCGGCTCTTCCAGTCCGCCAGTGCCTTTTGAGGCACCTTTATATGCTGGATAACTTTCACCGTGAGCACGGGCGGAGCGCCTCCACTGACGCAGAAAATTTCTATATGTGACATGCGGAAGTTGATCTCGTGCCCGTCGCTGGCAGAAATCCGCATACTCATCCTGAAATGAGGGATCTTGGGTAGACTCTGGTCGTGACATGTTGCTGGCTCTTGAGAGAAACCTGCGAGATGCGGGCACAAGCTGATTTAAGGCACTAGACAGGTGAAAGGCTGGCAGTGGCAATCCGAGCTCCAGGCAACCACAAAGATGAACCTGCATCATTGGAAGTGGTTTGCTGAAAGCTCCCAGTTGCTCTTGGCAGATGATGAGACATTTTGGGGGCTGCACTCTTCGGACCTGTTAAAAACCCCTGGGGAGAAACTCCACCATCTGTGCAATCTCATTGGGAGAGACTCGGCCAACCGAGGGGAGAATCTCCACCTGACACTCTCCTGCAACTGAGAGTTAAATAAAAACCCCTGGGGAGAAACTCCACCAGCTGTACACTTATCACAAGGGGAGAAACTCCTCCAATTGGGGAGAATCTCCTCCGCAGGGAGCATCTCCACTAGGCTGCTGGCTCAGAAGAAGGTGCCATGAGACGATTGTACGACACTTCCCACATCGCTGTAGCCAAGTTCAACTTGCGATCTTCTGCGAAGAACGTGGCCCTCAGAGTCTCAACCTCTCCCAGGTAGACCGTTCTGGTGTCGATCGGTAAGAACTTACTAACGTAAGAGACTATGTAGGTCTCCCTCTCCAGAGAGTCGAGATCGTATCTGTGGAGTGAGATGCTTTCTGGGGCCACCAGTTCCCCAGAGGTGATGCGAGCGAGGGTAAGGTATTCCAGGCCCTGCTCGGTAAGAACTTTTCGCCTGCGAAACCTGATCTGCCCCCACTCGTCGATGCCCACGATGGAGTGCAGGTGTTTGATCACCTGCCGAACCCCACTTTCCGGGAGTAACTCCACGGAAAGGTTTAGGATCTCGTCCTTGGTGATGAGCCCGAGCGCCTTCACTCTCTCTCGCAGCTCTGTGAGCACCGCCCAGGGGAGAACCTCCACACCTTGGGACTTCTGGTGCAAGTAGTGGACGGCTGCTATCGTCGGAAGCAGCATCATGGCCAGGTGAGTCGGCGACTGGTCGTACATGTTGAAAGAAGGAGGGAATGCACTGCCGAAACTGTAAGCTTCTGAGCCTGAACGCTTTATCAAAGAGAAAGTGAGCAAAAACATCTGTAATGCTCTTGCACAGATCCCTGCAGCATGCAGAGTGCTCGCGGGAGGGCCTCCTCGCAGCTCTTCAAAGATGCCACTGTCTCCTCGCAATTGTGCACATGGTGGGAGTAGCTCCTCTTCTTGGGGTCTACCTTTATCGAATACTCTTAGAACCAGGCAGGCCCTCTCGTGGGGCTAGTCCGATCAGTGATCTATTCCTCAGGAAGAGATCAGGAGAGCAAATCGCGAATCTGGCGAACCAGCGGTGATGGCTGAGTTCCCAGTCGCTGAAAATCCGCATTTATGAGCGAAAAGGCGGTATTCCCAACTAGGGTCTGCAAAGTGTCCTGCAAATCAGATGTGGCCGCCCTGGTTGACAGCTGGATCTGAATTCGGACTGGGCCTCCCGTCATGCTCTCAGCCAGTGGCCGCGAAGTTTTGAAGAGCTTGATGTGTTCCGGATCGGAGGAGATTCGGGTGATTGCGTCCCCCAGTCCTGAAACAACTTGAGCCGT